AGTGAGCCTGCTGCGATTTCATGGATGCTGTCAGAAGACATGAGACTCCTTGGTCAGAGACAAAGGACTTCATTACTCATGGCAACAGCATTAATCAGAGTGTCAGTATTTGTGCCAGCTAACCAAACCCCGGTTTCTACAGGGTGCTGCACAGAGAGCCAGGTGATACCTGCACACACAGTGAGGTGCATTACATGAGAGAGACTCTGATCTTAGGGTACCAAAACATTTTATAATGGGCAGTAAGCATTCCTGACCTTTGCCCTGCAGGAAGACTTTATCTTTATTATACTGAACAGTAAACAAACCTGCCTTCTGCTCTCCTGGGAGACTGTTTCTCTTCTTAGGCTGTTTACTGTATCAGCATCCAGAACAAAGGGAGTCAGTGTCTCTCTTCTTGCAAGATGTGCAGAAATACTAGACTCTTCAAAGAGCGTTGTCTCCCTACACCTTGTTTTGGAGCTGGGAGAACGTTTGTGATTACAGGTTCTTCTCCAATCAGTTGTTAAAATTCTGGTGAAATATGGACGAATCTTAACAGATCTGTTTCAAATATAACATTAAGCTGATTTTGTTCTGACAGTATCTTTTTATTTTTCCTGCTTCAGTTCAGATCCTGGCTTTCTCTCACCTAGACTGCTACAGTTGCCTCCTGATCGGTCTCATTGCATGTAATCTTGTTCTGTCTGTTCTCAGCACTTGTTCACTCTGTTCTCAACATGTCATTCAATTTAAATTTGTTATTGGTTCCCCATCAGTATTAGGACAAAGTTTAAATTGTCGAACAATTGCTGTATAATTCTCTTGTGCTGTTGTTGTTGGGTGCCATTGAGTTGATTTTGACTCATAGTGATCCATGTGACAGAGTAGAACTGCCCCATAGGGTTTTCTTGGTTGCGGTTATTATGGAAGCAAATCACCAGGTCTTTATCCTGCAGAGCCACTGGGTGGGTTTGAACTGCCAACCTTTCTGTTAGTAACCAAGTGTTTGTAAGCGTTGCGCCACATCCAATTTTGTAAATGTTAACCTCCAAATAAAATATACATAGACACACACAAAACACTGCATAGGCCAGTACTAAGTAGGCTGCTCAGAACAGATTTGTTGACAGTTTGTAACCTCTGTTCTTACTTATCATTTTCTCTCTTATTCCTTTGTGTTCCAGTGCAGTTTTTTCTGCCTTGAATAATCTCCATATTTGCCTCTCATACTACTGCTTATACTTTGAAACCTGTCTTAGTCAGCTAGTGCTGCTATAACAAAAATACCACAAGTGGATGGTTTTAACAAAGAGAAGTTTATTTCCTCACAGATAAAGTAGGCTAAAAGTCCAAATTCAGGGCATCAGCTCCAGGAGAAGGCTTTTTCTCTCTGTTGGCCTTCTTTTCTTCAGTGTTCCCCCGGACTAGGAGCTTCTCAGCACAGGCACCCCGGTCCAAAGGACGCCCTCTGCTCCTGGCACTGCTTTCTTGATGGTATGTGGTCCCCCTGTCTCACTGCTCACTTCTGTCTTTTATATCTCAAGAGATTGCCTCAGGACACAGTCCAGTCTTGTAGATCCAGTCCTGCCTTACCAACACAACTGCCACCCATCCTCCCTCATTAACATCATAAAGGCAGGTTTACAACATACAGGAAAATCACACAGTACCAGGAATCAGGGCCCAGCCAAACTGATACACACATTTTTGGGGGGACATAATTCAAACCATGACACCTACCTACTCTGTAAAGCCTTTAAGTGAACCCTTCTCAACCATGTTAAGTGTTTTGCTCTGAACACCTTTATGTTGTTGTTGTTAGGTGCCATGGAGTCAGTTCTGACTCCTAATGACCTATGTGCAACAGAACGAAACACCACCTGGTCCTGTTCCATCCTCACAGTCGTTGCTATGTTTGAGCCCATTGTTGCAGCCACTGTGTCAGACCATCTTATTTTTATTTTATTTTATTACTTTTTTAATTGTATTTCAGGTGAAGGCTTACAGAACAAATAGTTTCTCGTGAAACAGTAGTACACATGTTGTTTTATGACATTGGTTAACAACCCCACAACATATCAACCCTCTAACTTCTCAACCTTTTTTTTTTTTGGTGAAACTATGCATAGCTGAAGATACACCATTTCAAAAATTTCTACATGCACAGTTCAGTGACACTGACTACGCTCTTCCAATTGTGCTGTTATTCTCACTTAAGATGAAGG